CTAGAGATTTTTTTTTTTTAAATTAGTAGATTTGCAATATGGGTATAACTTTGTTGACCTGACAGCCTGACAGCTGAGTGAACAGCATTTCAGATTCGTAGCCCTGAGGTTCTGGGTTTGATCCCTGGTGGAGGTGGAAAAAAAATGGGCAGTTTCTCTTTCACCCTGATGCCCCTGTTACCTAGCAGTAAATAGGTATCTGGGAGTTAGACAGCTGACTGGACAGCGCTTCGGATTCATAGTCCTGAGGTTCAGGGAGCGATCCCCGGTGGAGGCGGAGACAAATGGGCAACATGTTTCTTTCACCCTGATGCCCCTGTTACCTAGCAGTAAACAGGTACCTGGGAGTTAGAAAGCTACTACGGGCTGCTTCCTGGGAATGTGTAACAAAAAAAAAGAGGCTTGTTCCTTTTTGGGCCGCGGGAATGCTAAGCCCCGAAATCATTTCTCAAGATAGCTGCTATGGGCTGCTTCCTGGGGAAGTGTGTAACAAAAATGAGGCCTGGTAAGAGGACCAGGCCGCGGGGACACTAAGCCCCAAAATCATCTCAAGATAAGATAACCTATTTTCAATGTTTCTCACTTTATATATTTAGTTTTTTCACTCTAATAAGTTGTATTTATGTGTCAAAGATGGTGTTTGTTATGTATAACCTTGAAAATATACATAAATACAGATATATGCGCACAAATATATACACACCATGCATTTATTAATACTCCGGAGTCCGGAGTTAACAAAGGCCCTGATCGGCCGAAAGGTTCATCTCTCTTTACCATTTCTCTGTTGATTTTTTGCATACAAATGATCAGTGTTTCGTGATCATCAATTGTGTGTGTGTGTGTGTGTGTGTGTGTGTGTGTGTGTGTAATTATTACCTAAGTGTAATTACCTAAGTGTAGTTACAGGATGAGAGCTACGCTCGTGGTGTCCCGTCTTCCCAGCACTCTTTGTCATATAACGCTTTGAAACTACTGACGGTCTTGGCCTCCACCACCTTCTCACTTAACTTGTTCCAACCGTCTACCACTCTATTTGCGAAGGTGAATTTTCTTATATTTCTTCGGCATCTGTGTTTAGCTAGTTTAAATCTATGACCTCTTGTTCTTGAAATTCCAGGTCTCAGGAAGTCTTCCCTGTCGATTTTATCAATTCCTGTTACTATTTTGTATGTAGTGATCATATCACCTCTTTTTCTTCTGTCTTCTAGTTTTGGCATATTTAATGCTTCTAACCTCTCCTCGTAGCTCTTGCCCTTCAGTTCTGGGAGCCACTTAGTAGCATGTCTTTGCACCTTTTCCAGTTTGTTGATGTGCTTCTTAAGATATGGGCACCACACAACAGCTGCATATTCTAGCTTTGGCCTAACAAAAGTCATGAACAATTTCTTTAGTATATCGCCATCCATGTATTTAAATGCAATTCTGAAGTTAGAAAGCATAGCATAGGCTCCTTGCACAATATTCTTTATGTGGTCCTCAGGTGATAGTTTTCTATCTAGAACCACTCCTAGATCTCTTTCTTTATCAGAATTCTTTAAAGATTTCTCACATAATATATAGGTTGTGTGGGGTCTATGTTCTCCTATTCCACATTCCATAACATGACATTTATTAACATTAAATTCCATTTGCCAAGTGGTGCTCCATATACTTATTTTGTCCAGGTCTTTTTGAAGGGCATGACAGTCATCTAAATTTCTTATCCTTCCTATTATCTTAGCATCATCAGCAAACATGTTCATATAATTCTGTATACCAACTGGTAGATCATTTATGTACACAATAAACATCACTGGTGCAAGAACTGAACCCTGTGGTACTCCACTTGTGACATTTCTCCATTCTGATACATTGCCTCTGATTACTGCCCTCATTTTTCTATCAGTCAGAAAATTTTTCATCCATGATAGAAGCTTACCTGTCACCCCTCCAATATTTTCCAGTTTCCAGAACAACCTCTTATGTGGAACTCTGTCGAAAGCCTTTTTTAGGTCCAGATAGATGCAGTCAACCCAACCATCTCTTTCCTGTAATATCTCTGTGACTCGATCATAGAAACTGAGTAAATTCGATACACAGGATCTTCCAGATCGAAAACCATACTGTCTGTCTGATATTATATCATTTCTCTCTAGGTGTTCTACCCATTTAGTTTTGATTAGTTTTTCCAATACTTTCACTATTACACTTGTCAATGATACAGGTCTATAATTGAGGGGGTCTTCCCTGCTGCCACTTTTGTAGATTGGAACTATGTTAGCCTGTTTCCACCCGTCTGCTACGATTCCTGTACACAGGGATGCCTGAAAGATCAGGTGAAGTGGAATGCTGAGCTCAGATGCACATTCTCTCAGAACCCATGGTGAAACGCCATCTGGGCCAGCTGCTTTGTTCTTACCGAGCTCCTTGAGCGCGCGCGTGCGTGCGTGCGTGCGTGCGTGCGTGCGTGCGTGCGTGTGTGTGTGTGTGTGTAATTTAATTACCTAAGTGTAGTTACAGGATGAGAGCTACGCTCGTGGTGTCCCGTCTTCCCAGCACTCTTTGTCATATAACGCTTTGAAACTACTGACGGTCTTGGCCTCCACCACCTTCTCACTTAACTTGTTCCAACCGTCTACCACTCTATTTGCGAAGGTGAATTTTCTTATATTTCTTTGGCATCTGTGTTTAGCTAGTTTAAATCTATGGCCTCTTGTTCTTGAAGTTCCAGGTCTCAGGAAGTCTTCCCTGTCGATTTTATCAATTCCTGTTACTATTTTGTACGTAGTGATCATATCACCTCTTTTTCTTCTGTCTTCTAGTTTTGGCATATTTAATGCTTCTAACCTCTCCTCGTAGCTCTTGCCCTTCAGTTCTGGGAGCCACTTAGTAGCATGTCTTTGCACCTTTTCCAGTTTGTTGATGTGCTTCTTAAGATATGGGCACCACACAACAGCTGCATATTCTAGCTTTGGCCTAACAAAAGTCATGAACAATTTCTTTAGTATATCGCCATCCATGTATTTAAATGCAATTCTGAAGTTAGAAAGCATTGCATAGGCTCCTTGCACAATATTCTTAATGTGGTCCTCAGGTGATAGTTTTCTATCTAGAACCACTCCTAGATCTCTTTCTTTATCAGAATTCTTTAAAGATTTCTCACATAATATATAGGTTGTGTGGGGTCTATGTTCTCCTATTCCACATTCCATAACATGACATTTATTAACATTAAATTCCATTTGCCAAGTGGTGCTCCATATACTTATTTTGTCCAGGTCTTCTTGAAGGGCATGACAATCATCTAAATTTCTTATCCTTCCTATTATCTTAGCATCATCAGCAAACATGTTCATATAATTCTGTATACCAACTGGTAGATCATTTATGTACACAATAAACATCACTGGTGCAAGAACTGAACCCTGTGGTACTCCACTTGTGACATTTCTCCATTCCGATACATTGCCTCTGATTACTGCCCTCATTTTTCTATCAGTCAGAAAATTTTTCATCCATGATAGAAGCTTACCTGTCACCCCTCCAATATTTTCCAGTTTCCAGAACAACCTCTTATGTGGAACTCTGTCGAAAGCCTTTTTTAGGTCCAGATAGATGCAGTCAACCCAGCCATCTCTCACCTTTAGGGGTGGGTGGGTGTGTGTGTGTGTGTGTGTGTGTGTGTGTGTGTGTGTGTGTGTGTGTGTGTGTGTGTGTGTGTGTGTGTGTGTGTGTGTGTGTGTGTGTGTGTGTGTGTGTGTGTGTGTGTGTGTGTGTGTGTGTGTGTGTGTGTGTGTGTGTGTGTGTGTGTGTGTGTGTGTGTGTGTGTGTGTGTGTGTGTGTGTGTGTGTGTGTGTGTGTGTGTGTGTGTGTGTGTGTGTGTGTGTGTGTGTGTGTGTGTGTGTGTGTGTGTGTGTGTGTGTGTGTGTGTGTGTGTGTGTGTGTGTGTGTGTGTGTGTGTGTGTGTGTGTGTGTGTGTGTGTGTGTGTGTGTGTGTGTGTGTGTGTGTGTGTGTGTGTGTGTGTGTGTGTGTGTGTGTGTGTGTGTGTGTGTGTGTGTGTGTGTGTGTGTGTGTGTGTGTGTGTGTGTGTGTGTGTGTGTGTGTGTGTGTGTGTGTGTGTGTGTGTGTGTGTGTGTGTGTGTGTGTGTGTGTGTGTGTGTGTGTGTGTGTGTGTGTGTGTGTGTGTGTGTGTGTGTGTGTGTGTGTGTGTGTGTGTGTGTGTGTGTGTGTGTGTGTGTGTGTGTGTGTGTGTGTGTGTGTGTGTGTGTGTGTGTGTGTATATATATATATATATATATATATATATATATATATATATATATATATATATATATATATATATATGTTAATTAGACATAGCACTCATTTTGCCTGAAATATATATTGTAATCACTCATTTTCTGCTGTTAAACTTTCAGTGGCCCATAGTATGGCTGCCTTACACATTCCTAAAGCCATGGCTTTAGGATCATTTCATAGGACTAAGTAACCTAGAACACGTTACTAAGCCCATGAAAGGAAAGTGAAGGACTCAGGATGTTTATTAAAGATGGCTGGTTATTGGAGGTCTGAGGAAACAAATGTGTGCCCTCTCGTATGCATGAGATTTTTTTTATTCTTATGATATACAGTGCTAATATCATCATATATGTCGGCTTGGCGCATTTTCGGGCAAACAAGTTTTCTCGACTGACGCAGCACAGTGGCTAATATATAAATGCCACAGCTTCCTGCACCTCTGTGAGGGGACCAGGTTCTGGTGCGGTGTCCCTGGTAGGCCCGAGAACTCCGTGACTGATGGCACCTACTAGGTGGAGATATTGTACTAACTTCAGGGAACCTCAGGTAACTTCATTATAATATTTCATATTAAAAAATTTATAAATATTGATTATTCCCAAATCTGGATTAGTTTTAGGATATTAACCTGATATATGTATATCTAAGAAAATAATCATTGTTCCTTAAAATATTCTTGAAAATTAACTTAAAAGATGACGATTTACACGTTGCATACCCTATGTGTAATTTTGACACTCTTCCGCCAGTCCTCGGTGAATATCTCCTTAAACTGTTGAATGTAGCGGCACACTTGCTGCTGTGTACCTAACTGAAACCTGCAAAATGTAACTCTTATTAACATCTTATTTTTACAATGAATATTAAGATTCCAAACTAAAGCACTACTTCACAAATAAAATATTAACTACATACACAATACCAATATTTCCCTGTGATATCAAAGGAGTGAGAAAGGTGGTGGTACTGGCACACAAATTCTGGAAAATTACTTTATTGTAAGATTTGCAAAGCAAAGTTTTGCCATATTTAGTGATAACCAGAATTGAATAATACTGTAACGTCCAAGTTATGTATCTGGGCACATAGTGACTTTTTTTATATCTTGGGGAATGCAAATGATCACATGACTAAGACGATCACATTAGGTTATTGACATGCTCACGTTATCCTTGAAAATTGTGAACATCTTGCAGTATTTATTTCTAATTCTTCAAAGAAGTCAATGAATATAACAAACACCACTGAATGTAATCAAATGACTCTGGTACGGCCTCAGCGGCCATGAGGGACCACAAACTGGCTCCCTCACATGGACCACCAGGGACCACAACCTGGCTCCCTGACATGGTCCACCAGGGACCAGAACCTGGCTCCCTGACATGGTCCACCAGGGACCACAAACTGGCTCCCTCACATGGACCACCAAGGACCAGAACCTGGCTCCCTGACATGGTCCACCAGGGACCACAACCTGGCTCCCTGACATGGTCCACCAGGGACCAGAACCTGGCTCCCTCACATGGTCCACCAGGGACCACAACCTGGCTCCCTCACATGGTCCACCAGGGACCACAACCTGGCTCCCTCATGTGGGCCACCAGGGACCACAACCTGGCTCCCTCACATGGTCCACCAGGGACCAGAACCTGGCTCCCTGACATGGTCCACCAGGGACCACAAACTGGCTCCCTCACATGGTCCACCAGGGACCACAAACTGGCTCCCTCACATGGACCACCAAGGACCAGAACCTGGCTCCCTGACATGGTCCACCAGGGACCAGAACCTGGCTCCCTTACATGGTCCACCAGGGACCACAACCTGGCTCCCTCACATGGTCCACCAGGGACCAGAACCTGGCTCCCTCACATGGACCACCAGGGACCACAACCTGGCTCCCTCACATGGTCCACCAGGGACCACAACCTGGCTCCCTCACATGGTCCACCAGGGACCACAACCTGGCTCCCTCACATGGACCACCAGGGACCACAACCTGGCTCCCTCACATGGACCACCAGGGACCACAACCTGGCTCCCTCACATGGACCACCAGGGACCACAACCTGGCTCCCTCACATGGACCACCAGGGACCACAACCTGGCTCCCTCACATGGACCACCAGGGACCACAACCTGGCTCCCTCACATGGTCCACCAGGGACCACAACCTGGCTCCCTCACATGGACCACCAGGGACCACAACCTGGCTCCCTCACATGGACCACCAGGGACCACAACCTGGTTCCCTCACATGGTCCACCAGGGACCACAACCTGGTTCCTTCACATGGTCCACCAGGGACCGGAACCTGGTTCCCTCACATGGTCCACCAGGGACCACAACCTGGTTCCCTCACATGGTCCACCAGGGACCGGAACCTGGTTCCCTCACATGGTCCACCAGGGACCACAACCTGGTTCCCTCACATGGTCCACCAGGGACCACAACCTGGTTCCCTCACATGGTCCACCAGGGACCGGAACCTGGTTCCCTGACATGGTCCACCAGGGACCACAACCTGGCTCCCTCACATGGTCCACCAGGGACCGGAACCTGGTTCCCTCACATGGTCCACCAGGGACCGGAACCTGGTTCCCTGACATGGTCCACCAGGGACCACAACCTGGCTCCCTCACATGGTCCACCAGGGACCGGAACCTGGTTCCCTCACATGGTCCACCAGGGACCGGAACCTGGTTCCCTGACATGGTCCACCAGGGACCACAACCTGGCTCCCTCACATGGTCCACCAGGGACCACAACCTGGCTCCCTCATGTGGACCACCAGGGACCACAACCTGGCTCCCTCACATGGACCACCAGGGACCACAACCTGGCTCCCTCACAGAGGCACAGGGACCTGGGATTGTTATGATCACTCTCACCAAGAAAACATCCAGAAAGTACACAAAGCAACACACAAATGCAAGGTTCACAGAAACCAAAGTACAGTGGGGCCCCAACTTACGAATTTAATCCGTTCCCAGAGACGGGTCGTAAGTCGAAAATTCGAAAGTTGAAACGAATTTTTCCATAAGAAATAATGTAAATTGAATTAATCCATTCTACACCTCCAAAAATATTAACTTAAAAATACATTTTATACTGAATACAACTTTTTTTTTTCTAGCTACAACACAATATGTTTATCTTAACTTTATTGATGTGTCTTGTTGGCATATGGAAGACGATGAGAAGGGAGGGGGGAAGGGAGGAGAGGTGTTACTGTTTGGAAGGGGAGGCCCCTTCCATTATAACATCAGGTCTCAATTCTAACATCATTATAACTTTGGGCAAGCCTCTTCTCCTTCCATCTGTCATGTCATCTTTCGACTACACTTGGGTGAAGTCAAAATTATCTCGTCTCTTTTGTGGGTTTTCTGCCTGGTCCAGTCCCATAATTGGACTGTGCGGATCTCTGGCACATTTTGGACTAGTCTCGTCTGAACCGGTTGCTTCCTCGCCGCTCTTTTTGAGTAAGTTGTTCCTGGACCGGCTCATTCTCGAATTGGGCTCTTGGATAATTTCCCTAAACCTCATGGACACCTACTGGCATGTTTCCATACATCTAGGTTTCAGGGTTTGGATCGGTTTCATAGTAGGGCGACAGGCTTTCTGCTTTCGGGCTCTTCCATTTTGAATCTGGTACCTCACGTTTTTAAGCATAGACTCAGGTCGTGGTGGCCCGTCTTCATCTGCTTGGTCTTTGGGGTCTTGGCCTACCTCAACAACTGGTTAGTGGGGGCTCCCAGGCAAGTCTGCTGGGTCACCGGGTTTGCCCTTCTGTGTTACCTGTCAGGCAGGGTTTGGCTCTGGAGGCTGCTCTGGTATATTAGGGTCAGCCCCTCTCACGATCGCTGGATCCACCCCCCTGGTGTCCCTTCTCTGGTTGCTGCATCACTGGTTTCTTCTTCGATTCAGGGTTCAGTGACATGGCGCCTTTCTTCCCTTTGCTCAATGTTTGGACAATGTACAATGTCCAAATCTACAATGCCGAGGAGGCCTCGGCTGTAGGTTGGGGCGTTATAACCAGTGCTCACCAGTGTGGCCCAGGTTGTTGACATCCGTCCCATCGTTGGACTCGCAGCACAGTGCAGTTCTGTGCAGTGTAGCAGGTGCTGTGGAGGGTTCACATTTCTCGGGGCTTGATGATCCAGCTACATTCAGACTGTTCCTTGGTGATTCATTGTCTCATCTGGGGAAGGGGGGGGGATCTTTGGCTTGTGCCTCTTTGGAACTGGTCGCTTTGGATATCTCTTCTGCTGAATTTTCAGGGTTTGATTCTCCACACAGTTCACATACATGGAGTGTCCTCCATTCTGGCCAACTGTCTGTCTTGCTTCATTCCCCTTTCCACAGAGTAGACCATTGATGCCCTTTTCTTTGCTGGATTTGCCAAATGTATGGGGGCCTGGATGTGGACCTCTTCAGGTCCACCTGGTCTCGGCGTCTGCCTCTTTACATGGTGTCATTCATCGTCTGCGAGGCTTTAGTGGCGGACACTTTTTGGCTCACCAAGAAATTGGTGTTTCATTACATTCAATGCTGGTTGAATGTAATGAAACTACCTGCATGCCATCTATCCAGCTCTTACAACGAGCATATTCTTACAAATTACAAAGATACATATCTTTGCTCTCCTCCTCCCTGGTAAATCCTGTTTCTTCCTTCTCTGTTGGTGGTTGGCTTCAGGAAGGTGCTATTTGGCCCTTCTAGAAAACAAGCATTGAATGTATTGAAATGTTTCTTTCTGGTTGGACCTTAATGGTTCCTGGTCCCTCAAATCCCTCCACTTCCAGGTGTGCCAAAGTGTGCTTCACCTTCAGATTGGGCTCTGTTTACATGGGGGGAGCCAGAGTTACTGGTGAGACTAGGGAAAACCTGACATCTCTTCTGAATATAACAAATATTCAGAATCATTTGTGAAGTCATTTGTTGCTTCATTTCTTTTCTTTTACCTCTCAGAATGTTCGGTAATATGTTTATTGTTTGTGATGTGTCTATATACTGTATATATGTATGAACACGTTGTACTGAACAGGGTGAGAACAGCTTGAGCTACCTCATTCCTTTGTGTGTATTTTATCTTAATAAACTTATTTCAATTTAAATTTCTTTTCTTTCTGTGAAGCATGAAGTTGTTTGTTTTCCTATGCTTATTTTTTAATGTTTCTTTGGTGTGGGAGATCATAATAATCCTCTGCTCCCTGAGCCTCTGTGAAGAAGTGTAAGTTCTGACTCTGGGGCCAGATTCACAAAGCAGTTACACAAGTACTTATGAACGTGTACATCTTTCGACAATATTTGACACCTTTGTTTACATTTATTAAACAGTTTACAAGTATGAAACCTTCTCAATCAACTGTTGTTATTGTTATAAACAGCCTTCTAGTGCTTTGGAGCTCATTAACTGTTTAGTAATTGTAAACAAAGCCGCCAAAGATTGAGAAAAGATGTTCAGGTTCGTAAGTGCTTGCGTAATTGCTTTGTGAATCTGGCCCCTGGATTCCAAAGTAGGCCATGATGGACGCTTAAGGTTGATATGACTATCTAAGCGAGCTAGTTACAGGGAATCACCGTTCAAAACCTACAGAAAGCTTGAAAGACCAAACTCACTTCACATTGTTCAAGCATTCTGATATGGCAAAAGCCATGCCAGGCTCCAAAGGTCTAAAGACGTTATCAGTCTATAGCTCAATGGGTCTTTTCTGTTACCTTTTTACAAATTGAGAATACATGTGTGTGTGTGTGTGTGTTGATTCATTAATGAAATTTTCTTTATGCAGTAATTATGTTTAATTATAAACTTTGACTTGCACACTATCATTTTCCTCTTATTTCAGCATATCTATACTTTATTTATTTATTTATATATATACAAGAAGGTACATTGGGATTGTGAGGATACATAGTATAGTAATTACAATCTTGTAAAGTCACTAGTACGCGCAGTGTTTCGGGCAGAAAGATACTCTATAATACTATAAAAGAAGTGAGAGATATAAAGTCTGTTTACCAATACATACTTGCATGTAGATCCATTTTGTCTGCCTTCTTGATAATCACGATCAACATACAGCTCACCAAAGTACACTTCGTCGGTCTTTCGTTGAGAAATAGTCAACCTGCAAGAATAATAAGAACTACTTAGTACAAAGAAGCTGCTTCATTACAACATTTTTTATTATGCTAATTCAGTTAATACCAACTTAACTAGTGGGTGTGTTAGTCAATTATTTGTAAATAATTATTTGTACCTTCGGATAATGCAATGAAGATTAAAGGTCTAAATTGATATAATTCAAATTAACATGTTTTTAGTTTTGTAAATTCTGGAAACAAAGTATATATAGCAGGAGGCCTGGTCGACGACCGGGCCGCGGGGACACTAAGCCCCGGAAGCACCTCAAGGTAGCCACCTCAAGGTAGTGATGATATCTGTTTCTTCTCTCCTTTAACACTTACACTGCTACAATGCCTCTCAAGCAGATGAGGCCCATATGCCACAATCATCTGGAGATGATTAAAGGAGCTCCATTTTATTCAAAAGCTTCACCCCCATTAAAGGAGGATAGAATTTGACACTAAATTGACACTGTCAATTGTTTGTCATTTTTTACAAAATCCTGAGTCCCTTTGTTTCCCTCCACAACCTTAGTAAAAAGATTTCAGACCATGTTTGGAATATTATCTTCCAGTGACAATGTGCACAGCAGCCATGCTAACAACCACTAAAATTTTAACAACAGTGATTTTCAGTTTTTTTGCAGATTTGTTAATTTGCGTAGAGCTATCCTGGCAGCCAGCACCGGGAAGACACCATGGTAGCCCTCACATAGAGCTATCCTGGCAGCCAGCACCAGGAAGACCATGGGAGCCCTCACATAGAGCTATCCTGGCAGCCAGCACCAGGAAGACACCATGGTAGCCCTCACATAGAGCTATCCTGGCAGCCAGCACCAGGAAGACACCATGGGAGCCCTCACATAGAGCTATCCTGGCAGCCAGCACCAGGAAGACACCATGGTAGCCCTGACATAGAGCTATCCTGGCAGCCAGCACCAAGAAGACACTAAGGAAGCCCTCACATAGAGCTATCCTGGCAGCCAGCACCAGGAAGACACCATGGGAGCCCTCACATAGAGCTATCCCGGCAGCCAGCACCAGGAAGACACCATGGGAGCCCTCACATAGAGCTATCCCGGCAGCCAGCACCAGGAAGACACCATGGGAGCCCTCACATAGAGCTATCCTGGCAGCCAGCACCAGGAAGACACCATGGTAGCCCTCACATAGAGCTATCCCGGCAGCCAGCACCGGGAAGACACCATGGGAGCCCCTCACATAGAGCTATCCTGGCAGCCAGCACCAAGAAGACACCATGGGAGCCCTCACAGAAATAAGGTGTTATCACAGGAAAACCCCCATCTAATGAAAGAGGCCCCAGCCCTCTTTGAAAGAAGACATCACTGTATAATTTATGTTAGAGAATACTGTATGCATTATCTTCAGTAATAGCCATTTAGAGATATGCCACATACTTAGTATGGTATATCCTTCCTTGGCCACGTTCTGTTTCCAGTACTAGCTCTTCGATGAACACCAGGGAGTTGTCGGTTGTATAATTAGGTCGCTCATATGTTCGAGCAACCTTGGGAACATCGATGTTATCAGGAACACTCAGCTCCGGACCATCATCCAATGACATTGGAATAAGCTGCAAATACAAATATTGTAATTACATTTATTTAGTATAGTAAAAATAAATAATTGAATGTACTGAAATGCCTCTTTCTGGTAGAGTCCTGGTGGCTCCCTTGAAGCAATCTCACAGAGACGGCACTCCAATGCTAAGTCACATCAGTCACAGGAGTCCTGTTTAGTCTACCGAAACCAGGACCACAAACTGGCCCCTCACTGAGATGCAGAGAGCAGGCCATTATTAACTTCACCCTCATCAGGAAAGCATACAAAAGTCAGCGAAGCTTTACATACAACTGCAATTTTCATAGAAAATGAAGTATCAAAATGGCCAATGGCCCTGAAAATGATTTATTCCAAACAATTGGTTAACATGAAACTAGTTCGATCCCATTAGTAGCGATGGCTGCCACAAGGCGGCCTGGAGCCCTCAGCCTACAGCATGCTCCAAGGTCAGTCAGGAGTTGATGGATAATGAACCAGGTAATGACAAATCAGGGAGCCACTTGGGCTCTACCAGAAAGAGGGGATGTCTGGGGGTGTCAGTGAGGGGTAGTACCTCTGACTGAGAACAGTCACACCTTCGGATGGTTTGTCCGCTTTAGTCCCCACCTGCACTCAACTTTCACCTGTCGTTCCTAGTAGCTGTTTACATGTAAAGGCGGCCACAGCCCGGTAAGTCACTTCGACTGGTGGGCAAAACTAGGTGAGGTTAGCTGAAGGTTTGAGGCCCTCAGTGAATTAAGGCTTGTCTACCTGCACATGCGAAGACTGGACCCCTCAGACTACGAGGAGGAAACCACCAGAATAGTTCAGTGGGCAAGAGGCGGATGCAGCAAAGCGTTGGATGCTCAACTAGGGGTGCAGTGAGAGATGTAGGACACTGCTGGCCATCCACTGCATCATAACCTATCTCCTGCCGTCTTGACTTGTCTTGCTGCTGGACACAAATAGGCTGGGACGAGAGAGCAAAGCTAATGATTTACGCAAAACTCCCTCACTTTAATCTAAGTTAAGTGCAAGTCATGACTTCTACCCATATACTGAAGTCATGGTCATCTTCAATAATGAAAGATGAACATAATCACCAGAAAGAGGCATTTCATTACATTCAGTGCTAGTTTTCAAGGAAGAGCACCTCAGTGGCTCACTGAAACTAACCACAAAAAAACAGGAAAACAAGGGACTTACCAGGGAGGAGGAGACAAAGGTACTATTCTGAAGAGAAGATCATGGACAGGGAAACCGTAGCGCAGCACCATACAAGATCAGCTGGGTCCAGGAACATTAACCAAATACCAGGCTGCCAATTCCTTGTTAGGCCTCCAAAATCCTTGAGCCAAAATATTAGCTCACAACAAGTTAGAGAAAACAGCAGTTCATGCTGTATACTTATGAACATCATGGGCCCGAGAGTAGACTGCAGGATTGCTAGCTTTGATGACATTGCCAAGAACCTAAGAAATACACGGCTTGGAACAAAGGACCAAATGTTGGGCCTAGAACAGAATCAGCTGAGACTTCCACTAGTTCACCAGAACCCCCATACCTGGCAAGCTGGGCAAGAACCAGATCCTTGGACAGCCAGTGATGTAGCCGGATCACAGCTATCCGAGTTAACCTCGTAAAAATCCAAGAAGCTAGGGTCAAGCAGAAAGGAAGAACCTTAAAGCAGTAAGCCTGATGCCCCACAAGACACTCCTAATCAGGGCAGCAACCTCAGGTGAAAAGGAACATGTCAGTAAGTGTCCTTAAAGTCCAGGGACACCATCCTGGAATCCGCCTGCAACACTTGAGATAAAATGGCAATGTAGAAGGCCAAACAGGGAATGAATTCTTCAATGCCAAGTGATCAAGAATGTACTGTAAGTCTGTTGATTCCTACTTGGGAACCAGGAAAACTAGGATATCCACCAAAGAGAGAAGGTTAACTCTATTACACTTAAATACAAGTACTGTACTGTACATTGCAATGACCACATGGAGCCGAGGGAAGGGCTTCTAACCCAACACCCCTGACACTAAAAGAGGGGAAGAAGCAGGGGGCCATTTCCACTGGAGACCCTGGGAAACAACATGGAAGGACCAATAACTTTATACTAGAAATTGGCCAGTCAACGGGGTAAACCATGGAGGGGCTGGCATGAACATCCCTGAGCAGAGGCACCCTACTCTACTGCATAACAACAACAACAACTAGAAGGAGCTCCAGCCCGAGGAAGTGCAAGGGCCTGGGAATCAAAGTCTCCCAGAGGCCTAACCCCAACCAGCAGCCAGCAAGGCCCCGACCCCAGAGGGCTGCCTCCAAGCAGGAGGGACAGAACCCTTCTGCAAAACGAGCCATACTGAGGAGCTGGAGAGCAGCAGCAGCAACCAATAGGATCAAGAAACAGTATCCTTGTGGAAAAGAAGAGGTAAAGAGGGGAGGATTAAGACAGACAAAAGGATTAAGGACCAACGAGTAACTTGAGCAGAGCTGCCGAAGCAAAAAGGAAGCAACACCAGGCACAGTCACCAGAACAACCAGGCCAAAATGGAGCTGATTAGAAAATGGCTCAACAAATGCCCAGACATGCAAAATGGCTGCCAAATAAACATGAACCCTGTGATCCTCTGCACTGAGGGTTCCAGAGACTAAAGGCAGCTGGATATGGAGCTGCTATCTGCTCATGTCCTTCTGGAGAACTCGAGCAAACAAGCGGAGTTCAAGCAGAAAAAAGGAAGCACCACTCAAGAACATCTGAGTGACGAAATTCACTACTCAAGTACCCAGTTTCGGTAAAAGCCATGCAAAAGTCCCCAGGGAAAAGATAGAGTTGTCAGTATTCGAGGACCCCTCATACCATAGCCAATAATCAGAAGCAAACCAGCACTAGAAGGAGGCCAGGTCCACAAGGGAAGTGAGGTCCTGATCCTGCAGGATACCAAGCAGAAGACGGCACAAAGCACGACAATGGAAACCTCTGGAAATAAGATGTGTCCTCAGAACGTAAGGGAACATGGAAGAACACCTGCGAAGGACCAGCCGAAAAAACCAGCGTTGAATGTAATGAAACTCCATTTTCTGCGTGAGTCTCGGAGGCTCCCCGGACCTATCCCAGGCTAATATGCTAATGTCAGACTTTTGCATCAGTCATGTGTATGGAGTTCTTAGGCCTACCGGGGACCACGGCCAGAACCTGGCCCCCTCAGAGAGGCAAGGGGAGCAATGGCCTATAGAAACCCCCATGTGGTTGGAAGCATTCTCTGTCTGCCATCAACCAGATCAGGCACCCAGAGAGGTAAGCGCCCCAAAACAAACCCCTATTCTGGTTAAAATTGCTACCAAGAGCCGAACTAGTGGATAGAACTCCCCAACAGAAAACAAGCAAACTAATATGACGTCACACGTTGCCCATCAATTAAAAACCTGTCTATGCAACTCCCCCCTCCCCGGGAGGGGGAAGGGGGAGCCCCAGACCCCTCATGCTGACTACCCACACCTCACTTCTGAGGCTGGATGTCAAAAACACGAAAACCGCCGACTGGAGGGAGGGAGGGAGGGAGGGATGCCGAGGAGCCTCCAGGACTCGCCCAGGAAATGGCGTTTCATTACATTCAACGCTGGTATTCTGGGGGGAAGCCCCATCAGCTACCCGGAGCTAATTACCCACAGACGGAAAATAGGAACTTACCCGGGAGGCAGTCGTCGCTCACTCCTCAACTTGAAGTCGAGACAACTGGCTGCAACCGCCGACCCAAAACAACACAGGCCCGACGGAGCCCAGGAACAGTCATGAGGTAACGAGCAGCTAGGACAATGTTTGACCGCCAAAAACCCCGCACCCGAATATCAGACCAAGAAATGTTCCCAAAGACGGCAGCAAGAGTCACGAACTTACGGACGTCATGGGCACAGGAATAGACCACAGGCTGGCTAAATTTGATAGCCCTGTGGACGACCTGGGCGACCCAAACTCGCGAACAGAGAAGAAGGGAGACCCAAACCCGCGAACAGGGAAGAAGGGAGACCGGATCAACCCAAAGCGGGTCCCCGGACACAGACGCTGTGGTGCGCAAATAACTGCGAAGCGCCGCAACCGGACACAAAGTATGATGCACCCCCGGCCGTACCAACCAAGCATCAACCACCCACAGACCCCTCCTGAATGCAGCAGTCTCATTCTACACCAGATAAGAAGGAGATGGCTGCAGGTGAACGATCGCCACAACTGAAAGAACAGAAACCCCTGCGCCAGAGGAGAGCATGAAGTTCCCCGACCCAACCCCCAGAGGCCAATGCCAACAGGAAAAGAGTCTTGGAGAAACAATCCTGGACTGAAGGGGCCACGACGATATGAGGAGACGAGAGGAAAGCGAGCACTCTGTTCAAAGACCAGGACAGCTCAGGCGACGCATGAGCAGGCCGGAGGTGAAACAACGCACAAGACAGCTTGCGAAACGGAGCAGACGTAACATCGATACCGAAAGCAAACTGAAGCGGCTCCGCCAGCGCCGCATGATACGAGGCAACACTGTTAGGCATAAGATGATGGTCCTGAAACAACCAAGAGAGAAAGGACAAGACCACCCTAACTGACAACGAACCAAAACGACGAAGATGCAAGAAGAAACGGAAGGACCGCCAGGAAACTTCATACTGCCGCCGAGAAGAAGTCCGCAGGTGGGACACCAACAAAGAAGCCACCTGACCACCATAGAGATGATGATAGACTCGAGTCAAAAAACCATACGCAAAGACTAGAGGAGAAGATCGAACCAGCCACGCAACGTACCGGACCGATCTGTTGATAGAGGCAGAGCCGCGGGAAAACCCTCGGGTTTGGACACCAAGCAAGCGGCACTTGAAACCAAGGCTGGGCCGGCCACCAAGGGGCCAGAAGGACAACTCTCCCCTGGTAAGACTCCAAGCAAGTCAGGACCTGGAGCAACAGCTGAACCGGGGAAAAGAGGTACAGGAACCCCCAACTCCAGCCGAAAGGCATAGACCCCGACGGCCTCGCGATAGGGGAAGGG